TCATGCCCTTCGGACTGACCAACGCCCCCGCCACTTTTCAAATGACCATGAACGAAGATTTCTGCCCGCTCCTAGATAAGTGCGTCATATTATATCTGGACGACATACTGATTTACAGCCCTAGCAAAATACAACACCTATAGGACATCGAAGCAATTTTTAAAATACTGAGTGAGAACCGCCTACTGACAAAAGCATCTAAGTGTGAGTTTTTACAGGACCGCCTGTGTCAGAATGTTATTCTCTAGCCTGTAGTGGGGTGCTCCATAGTGAGTACAACCCATCTAGGGTTTGTTATATGTATCCTCATTAATGCTAGTGAACCTCCTCCTTTGTTTATTTTCTCTTGCCTAGCTAGGGCTTACCTAGGTATGGCACCTAACTATACCTACTATTCTCACATGGTTTCAGAGCACTCATGCTCCTGGCCTGTGGGCCCTACTGCTGCTTCCGCTGCTACTCTGTGTGTTGCACACCCCGTGGCGTGCGACGGATTTCTCTTCCCGTCGCGCACTCAGAGCGTACGGCGGTTTTCTACCCGCCGTGCGCCCCGAGGCGCGCGGCGGTTTTCTGCCCGCCGTGCGCCCCGGCGCATGCGGCGGTTCTCTGCCCGCCGTGCACCCCGAGGTGCGCGGCGGCCTTCTGCCCCGTTGGTCCGCGCGTCGCCCCCGGGGGGCGCTTCGACGGGCGACGGGGACCAGCCCGTCGTCCCCCGTCGCCCGTCCTGGCCAGCGCGGGCTGCGCTAGCCCCGAGCGCGGCCCGTACGGGCTGCGCCAGGCCCGCGCGCGGCTCGGGCCGCCTGCGCGCGGTTCGTTGGGCTGTGCCAGGCCCGTGGGCGGCCCGTTCCTCTCTCTCCCTGAGCTGCTCGCTATCCCCCGTGCTTCTGATGGTGCCCCACCCCTGCTACTGCCCGTTCTCCTAAATTAGGGTTTGGGGGTGAGGAGTGTGGGGGTGGCGGTTGTGTGTTACTCCCCTTGCTCCTCCTCCTCCCTGGTCTCCCACTGCTGCAGTTGCCGCTGAGGGGGGTGGGTGTGTGGGAGCCTAGGGTTTAGGGTTTAAGGGGGGTACCGTGGGAGTGGAGCTAGGGCTTGAGCCGGGGGTGTGTGAGAGGGGCGTGGGGCAGCTGGAGGAGGTTGTGTGGAGGTAGCGGTCGTATCGCCTGCAGCGCCTGTAGTCCGTCGCCTTTGCTTCGGTAGCGAGTGAGCCTGTTGCACCAGTCGCCAGTGGGTCCGTTGCTCCTGCCGCTCATCTATAGCTGCGGAGCCAGTTACTCAAGTAGTCCGTCGCCCTTGCTTCGGTAGCCACTGAGTCAGCTGCTCCCGTGCGCATGCCTCTGCAACTTCAGTCGTTGCCTCCTATCTTCTCTCCCCCACAATCTCTCCTCCTCACTTGCCCTCTGTGATAAGCTCTAGCTTTGCTTACCTTTGTAAACTCCTGCTCTATACCTGCTTGCTCATTGTACTGATTACACCCCACTTTGGCTATGGAGGTGTGTCAGAATGTTATTCTCTAGCCTGTAGTGGGGTGCTCCATAGCGAGTACAACCCATCTAGGATTTGCTATATGTATCCTCATTACTGCTAGTGAAACCCCTCCTTTGCTTATTCTCTCTTGCCTAGCTAGGGCTTACCTAGCTATGGCACCTAATTATTCCTACTATTCTCACAGCCTGGAGTTTCTGGGACACGTTATTTCAGCAGCAGGAGTGGAAATAGACCTGCAGAAAATTGCGACGATTCAAGCATGGCACGCGTCGACCAACTTGACCGAGTTGCAGAGCTTTTTGGGGTTCATCAACTACGTGCGCTGGTTCGTCCCCGACATGGCGAAGCTGACTGCCCCATTGACCGACCTGTTGAGGAAGGGGGTTGAGTACACGTGGGGGGAGAAAGAGCAAGCGCCTTCTCGGCCCTCAAAAACATTTTGTGCTCATCGCCCGTGCTTCACATCGCAGATCCGCACCGTCCGTTCGAGCTCGTCACCGACGCAAGTGACATCGCTATGGGAGCAGTACTGTTGCAAGATTTTGGGAACGGCCTCCAGCCAATCGCGTACAAGTCCCACAAGCGGCACCCGCCCGAACGCAACTACCCGATACACGACCGCGAAATGCTGGCGATCGTGCACGCGTTCAAGGTTTGGCGGTGTTACCTGACTGGCGCCGACGTGACAGTACGGATAGACCACCGATCAGTACAGTACCTGCGCGCCCAACCAAATCTCAATCCGCGACAGATTCGCTGGTTGGACTACCTCGAGTCCAACTTCCACTACACGGTTACGTACAAAAAAGGCGCCTCCAATATCGCCGACGCACTCACCCGCCCTACCGCCCAACTCCATGCTATCCTACTCGCCCAAACCAGCCCGCTTTTAACAAGCCTATTCACCCACGGATACAGTACCAACTCATTCTTCACGACCGGAAATTCACAGCAACTGGCAGAAGCTAAAGGAGTTTATTACGTAAAAACAGGCACCGACCGCATCTGGGTACTCGCGTACTCACTACTTAGGGAGCTGCTACTGCAGGAGGCACATGACGGAATAACCTCGGGACATTTTGGGGTAGAAAAAACGCGGCAGCAACTACAGCGGTATTACTACTGGCCGGAGCCGTTGACCGACGTACAGCAACACGTGGGCTCGTATGCCACGTGTCAGATGATGAAGAGCTCGAGGAAGCGGAAGGCGGGTCAATTGCAGCCGATACCACCGCCCGAGCGCGCCTGGCAGCAGGTTACCATGGACTTCGTCACTGGGTTACCTTCGAACCCTGGGGGTAACGACGCGGTGATGGTTGTCGTTGACAGGTTGACGAAGATGGCACACTAAGAAAAAAAAGTCGATCTCAACCTAGGAGACCGCTCGCCTGTTCATCGCTGCCGTTGTTCGCCTACACAGGATACCAGCAGCGATTATCAGCGACAGGGACACGAAGTTCACCAGCAACTTCTGGAAGAACCTCTGGGAGCAGTTCAGGACCAGGCTATAGTTCAGTTCGTCGTACCACCCTGAGACCGACGGTCAAACGGAGTGGACGAATCAGACGATGGAGCGGTTGATTCGTGCCACGTGCGACGACCCCACGACTTGGGAGCAGCAGCTGCCGCTGATCGAGTTCGCGTACAACAACGCCACGTTAGCGACGACGCAGCAGTCCCCCTTCTATCTGAACTACGGGCAACACCCTACAATGCCCATGACGCCGAGCCTGGACAACCCAACACCACGTGCACAGCAATTCGCCGAAATTCGGCAAGCTACCCGCACAAGAGCCGCAGAAGCAATTAAAAAGGCAAACATCATCGCCAAGCGCAATGCTGACCGCCACCGCCGCCCAGTCACATACCAGTCAGAGGATTACGTACTACTCAACACGCAAAATCTGCGACTGCCCGACGTACCGAAACTTCAACCGCGCTATTGTGGCCCATTCCAAATCAGCCACATGATCACGCCAGTAACCGCGCACCTACTGTTACCGACCGACTGGTACATCAGCCCATCGTTCCACGTCAGCCTACTTCGCCCGTACATCCAAACCACCAGCCAACTGCCTCGTCACTGCCCGCATTCCATGACTCGCCCTGCATCGGAGCCGATCAACGAGCCTAAAAATATTCTAAGCCACCGGATTCGCCACCCCACGGGAATCAGGAGGATTGAATCCCTCGTTCGCTGGAAGGACCGCACGCCAACTGAAGATAGCTGGGTGCCCCTGGCCAACATCGAAAAACACCCTACCCTGCAAGTGTACCTGAGGAGCCGGGGATTCCGCGATATACACGTACTCGTGTAACGGAGGGGGCTTCATGTGGGGGGGGGGTAGTGTAAGGAATTTTCTCGGCATTCCTTACGGAGCCCGACTACATCACGTTCAGCAACAGCCGTTATTCGTCCGTTACTGCTAATGGGACTTTGCCAACCTCGCGCGCATTGTTTTGCCAAACCTCGCACTCCTAGCCCGGGTGTGTCGGCCTACGCTTCGGGACTAGCCCGAGCCTCGCTGCCAGCATAGCACTAGCTAGCTCGCACGCACCGCGTTACCGTTTGCATGTTTTCGCATACTAAATGTTCGCTCATGCCTTCGCTCACATCTTTGTACTCGTTTGACACCTTAGTGCAATTCTCGCTACTTCGATTCATTGCACCCGTAACAGATATAAACGTGTGAAATGATGGGGAACAGAGGGACTCAAAAAGGTGTTGCGACATGATGTCAACGACAGTAACCACGTCACAACCGGTCTTAAAAGCGTTGGGATTGACAATGATAGCGAGATGGAATAACTCTCTTGCGAAAACGTTGGCGAATTCCGCGCGCATCGCGCCTTCCATAATTCAATCTACAGCGTGGCAGGTGTTGCGATTCGTGCCCAAGCAATGCATTATCGGAATTGCATTATCGTCAACGAAATGGAATTATTGGGGCACTCCCATAATTCACGAACCGCACATGTGGTGCTCCAGAACTTCTGCTGATGTATCGAACTCCTCGCAAATCTGCACATATATTTCGAAAGAACCTAGGATCAGTTAGCTTACTGTCCTCGCCATTAGTGATCCCGAGCTACTCAGCGAGTTTGTCACTATGTTGCTGGGATTCCTTTTCGTGCTAATTTTGTCTTGCGAACCGATCGGCAGCGAAGGAGCTTGGGGTCGGCGACTTCTCAGCGATCATGACGAGAGCGATCGACGTAAGATGAGTTCATGCCGAGAAGACAACGAATACGTTGGCCTGGCAGATGCGTATTTATGTTCTTTCAAACAAAGTTTCTTCCCGACGCATCATAGCGTCAAAGAAAGTTTCTTGCCGACGCATCATAGCTTCAATTGACGTTCTTGCTGACGCATCATAGCGTCAAAATGAAGTTTCTTGCCCACACATCGTAACGTCAAAGGAAGTTTCTTTCCGACGCGTAATAGCATCAAAGTAAGTTTCTTGCCGCACATCATACCGTCCCAATCTGTGGCGCTTCCATCGCCCCGATCTGTGATGAACACAGATGGATGGGACTTGATCACAGGTGGGACTTGCTTGAAGCTCCAAAGTTTTCCTAATCACATCTCCTCGCAATTCTCTCCCCAATCGCCCTCACAGCCGGACTCGTAACCCGACCTTTGTTTGCGCCTGGATCCTCTGGCGACTCGGGCATTCCGTTGCGCTCCTCGGATGCTCCACTCCAACGCAAACTGCAGCAGCAGAGGCAGAACAATCAGTTGTCGTGGCCGAAGCTGGAGTCGTTAACGTTAACGAAGAAGCAGACGGAAAATCCGTGGAAGCAGACGAAGAACCCGTGGAGGCGGACAGGAAATCAGTGGACGTGGCAGCAACAGCGGAAGAAGCGGCAGCAACAGCGGAATAAGCAGCAGGACCAGGAGAAGAAACAGGGGGCGGTGACGAAGCAACCGGACGCGGTGACGAAGCAGCCAGACGAGGTGACGAAGCAGCCGGACGAGGTGACGAAGCAGCCGGACGTGACGACGAAGCAACCGGACGCGGTGACGAAGCAGCCCGGGGAGGTGACGCAGCAACCGGACGTGGTGACGAAGCAGCCGAACGTGGTGACGAAGCAGCCGGACGAGGTGACGAAGCAGCCGGACGAGGTGACGAAGCAGCCGGACGAGGTGACGACGCAGCCGGACGAGGTGACGACGCAGCCGGACGAGGTGACGACGCAGCCGGACGAGGTGACGACGCAGCCGGACGAGGTGACGACGCAGCCGGACGAGGTGACGACGCAGTCGGACGAGGTGACGACGCAGCCGGACGAGGTGACGACGCAGCCGGACGAGGTGACGACGCAGCCGAACGAGGTGACGACGCAGCCAGACGAGGTGACGACGCAGCCGGACGAGGTGACGACGCAGCCGGACGAGGTGACGACGCAGCCGGACGAGGTGACGACGCAGCCGGACGAGGTGACGACGCAGCCGGACGAGGTGACGACGCAGCCGGACGAGGTGACGACGCAGCCGGACGAGGTGACGACGCAGCCGGACGAGGTGACGACGCAGCCGGACGAGGTGACGACGCAGCCGGACGAGGTGACGACGCAGCCGGACGAGGTGACGACGCAGCCGGACGAGGTGACGACGCAGCCGGACGAGGTGACGACGCAGCCGGACGAGGTGACGACGCAACCGGACGAGGTGACGACGCAGCCGGACGAGGTGACGACGCAGCCGGATGAGGTGACGACGCAGCCGGACGAGGTGACGACGCAGCCGGACGAGGTGACGACGCAGCCGGACGAGGTGACGACGCAGCCGGACGAGGTGACGACGCAGCCGGACGAGGTGACGACGCAGCCGGACGAGGTGACGACGCAGCCGGACGAGGTGACGACGCAGCCGGACGAGGTGACGACGCAGCCGGACGAGGTGACGACGCAGCCGGACGAGGTGACGACGCAGCCGGACGAGGTGACGACGCAGCCGGACGAGGTGACGACGCAGCCGGACGAGGTGACGACGCAGCCGGACGAGGTGACGACACAGCCGGACGAGGTGACGACGCAGCCGGACGAGGTGACGACGCAGCCGGACGAGGAGAAGCAGCAGCGGCTTGATAAGGAGAAGGAGATGAGCCGGCTTCAACAGGAGGCGTCAGTGAAGGCCTATGAGGAATACCAGGAAAGGAAGCGGCAGGAGGAGCTGTGGAAGAAGCAGCAGCAGCAGCAGAAGCAGCAGGATGAGGAAGAGCAGAAGAAGAAGCAGCTGCAAGCGGAAGAAGAGCAGAAGAAGCAGCAGCAGCAACTGGAAGAAGAGCAGAAGAAGAAGCAGATGCAGGCGGAAGAAGAGCAGAAGAAGAAGCAGATGCAGGCGGAAGAAGAGCAGATGAAGGAGCAGCAGCAGGAGATGAGCAAGCTTCAACAGGAGGCGTCATACAAGAGTATGCTTGCATACCGGGAGAATGAGCGGCAGAAAGAGCTGCAGAACCAGGAGAAGGTGAGACAGCAGGCGGAGCAGGAAAGGCTGGAGCAGGAGCGGCCTGAGTTGAAGCAGCAGCGGCTTGACAAGGAGAAGGAGATGAGCCGGCTTCAACAGGAGGCGTCAGTGAAGGCCTACCGGGAATACCAAGAAAGGCAGCGACAGGAGCTGCAGAAGCAGCAGGGACATCCAGGACGGAGCATGATGGGCTGCGTCCGCCAGGAAAAGAATTGCACAGCGGGCATGTGCAAGGATGGGGAGACGTGCAAGCCTTTGAACACGTGCAGGGGGTATATCTGCCTGGTAGATCGTTCTAACCTGCAGACTAAGACGCCCAGGAAGAAAGTGGATAAGATCAGTAAGAGCCCCGAGCAGGGGTCCTTGGCTCCGGAGGAAGAGAAGAGGACGATTGGAAAGCCCGTGGAGGGGAGTGATAAGGGAAAGAGGAGCAATGGGAAGGTACTATGGCAGTCAAGCCCATAGAGACGCCTCGAAGAGTGTGAGAATGAGTGTTTATGGTGGGGAGTGTGAGGAAGGGGGGTTGGTTTTAGCGTGGTTTTGCTTGCTTTGGTAAGGTGCAAGTTTGCTGACTTTTAGGGTGGTAAGGTGCAAGTTTGTATTGTGACACTTTATCAAATTTTCCATAATCTTGCAACAGTAATGATAATCCAAGTTGCGAGTCATCTTTCCAGTTCGTCGTAAGGAATTTTCTTGATATTCCTTAGCGCACCCTGCAACACCGCGTACAGCAGCAGCCGTTGTTCGCCCGTTACTGCTAACGGGGCTTCGCCGACTTCGCGCGCACTGTTTTCCCAAACCTCGCACTACTGGACCGGCCGTGTCGGCCTACGCTTCGGAACTAGCCCGAGCCTCGCTTCCAGCTTAGCACTAGCTAGCTCGCATGCGCCGCGTTACCGTTTGCATGTTTCGCATATAAATGTTCGCTCATGCCTTCGCTCACATTTGGTACTCGTTTGACACCTTAGTGCAATTCTCGCTACCTAGATCCATTGCACCCGTAACACTTGGTTATCAGAGCCTCTTTCTTTTCGGACCGCGCATCTCCGCACCCCAGGAAATCAACTTTTGTTTTTTCACTCGAAGAGACTCACGCACCTTAGCCCCTAGGAGCCATTGTCCTCAAGTTCTCACGTAAACGCGTGCAGCCACGATTGCGCCTAGACTAAGCTGAGCCGACGTCCCTCGAAATGGCTGAGCATATCGATGTCACGACTCTCACGCAGGAGCACTTGAACAAACTGCTGCGGCAAATCCGCGAAAGCTCTGAAGAAATCGCGGCGCTGACGACAGAATGCACGTCCCTGCAAAATGACCTCGCACGAGCACAATCTCAAGCACCTGGCACTCCGATTCAGCCCGCACCACAGACATCGCAACACGGAAGTGTGGGGCAACCCGCGAGCGCCGCAAGTGATGGCGTCGTCCGCCATGACGTAGACGACGACCACGGCACGACACACCTCGACGAGACGAATGCGGCCAGGAATCAGCCTCGAGTCACTATTTCGGTGCCGGCCGGCGAATTAGCTCTACCGTCGTCGATGCCGCTGAAGCCGCAGCGTCCGCCATGCTTTGACCCAAGTCAGCGGGGTGGTCCTACCGTTCATGCGTGACTTTTCACGTTGAACATTTTCTTCGACGCGAACTACGTCTCGAAGGATATGGCGAAGATTCGTTACGTCGTGTCGTTGCTGCAAGGACCCGCCATGAACTGGTGGCGTGTCATCGTCACGAAGCCAGTGGACTACGCGACTCTACCGACACGGGAAGGACAAACCGGACCCTGGGCGCCGTCGTATTTCGTGGAGGTGCCCCAGTATCGTACGTGGGATGCGTGGTGCGTAAGTCTGTGCGCTCGTTTCGAGCCAATTGCGGCTTCGATCGTGGCTCGACATAGGCTCCGCACTTGGCGCCAACTCGGTTCCGTCCTGTCGAGAATCTAAGTAATTGAGAGTAGAAAGGTGTGGGGCCTAGGCTTAGTAGCCTAGGCCCGAACTTAGGTATCGAGCGGGTTTTTGCTTAGGAGCGATGTCGAGTGAGTTGTGAGAGAGAAATTGGAGAATGTGTTTTCACTATAGGATTCGAAGTACATATAGCAAAGGAACACATGAAGAGGTGCACCACCTACAAATTTAATAACTACACTACAGCTAGAACTACATGCAGTTATAATAAATATAATTCTGACATCCCCCCGTAACTGCATGCAGGAATAGCTAAGTGCCGAGCACAACCTGCAGAGGTACACCAACGAGCAATAAAACAAGCAACAGCAGGTACTGCAGGCGGGCTAACTTTGAAAGGTTACCCCCTCCATCTCCTCACCCTCCTCCTTCCCCTCCCCCACAGTGCTGCAGAAGCAGCAGAGAAGGGGGGAAGAGAGGAGAGGTGGAGGGACGGCTGCTTGTTGCCTCACACCCGCCACCCCGGTACCACTCCCCCTGCTCACCCACATCCTCACACCCTCCCCCCCCAGCGGCAGCTGCAGCGGTGGGACTGAAAGAAGGAGGAGGGGAAGGGAGAGAGTTGACCCCACGCTCCAACACCCTCCACCCCCATACCCTCCTCCCCACGACTGCAGGGAGACAAGAGAAAGGGGGGGGTGGGAAGGAAGAAAGCCGCAGAGCGGCGAAGAGGCGTCGGTGCAGATGGGTCAGGGGCGGCAGCAGGGAGTGCAGGGGCGGAAAGGCCCGTTGCGGGCCAGTGCCACGGGGCGCACGACGGGTAGGATAAAAGGGCCCGATCGTGTGCCTCGGGGCGCACGACGAGCAGGGCACCATCGTGTGCCTCGGGGCGCACGATGGGCAGATAAAGGGCACCGTCGCGTGCATCGGGGCGCGCGACGGGCAGGGTAGGAGTCACACGCCCGTGGGCGGGACAAGGTAAAGAATAAAATCGTCACGCGCCCTAGGCGCGCGACCGTAAAATTTTAGCAGCGGAAGTAAAGCGGGCCCACAGGCCAGGACGAACTCAGCTCCGATAACATGTCGAGAATCTAAGTAATTGAGAGTAGAAAGGTGTAGGGCCTAGGCTTAGTAGCCTAGGCCCGAACTTAGGTATCGAGCGGGTTTTGCTTAGGAGCGATGTCGAGTGAGTTGTGAGAGAGAAATTGGAGAATGTGTTTTCACTATAGGATTCGAAGTACATATAGCAAAGGAACACATGAAGAGGTGCACCACCTACAAATTTAATAACTACACTACAGCTAGAACTACATGCAGTTATAATAAATATAATTCTGACACGTCCAAGACTACACGAGCGGGTTTCTGGCGCTATGCGAGCAGGTGATATACATGCATGAGAGCGAGCGCATCGACCGCTACATCGGCGGCCTGAAGCAGGACATCGCTCAGGAAATCCAGCTTCGCGGCGTCACCGATTTTCAGGAGATTCTCGCCATGGCGGAGAAACTCGATTTCTTCCGCCGACCGAGACCGAGGTCCTACGGAAGCAGTAATTGGGGACATCGGCCTCGTGGGACGAACGAGGGCGCTACGATACGTGCCGTCGCCGCAAATGCCGATGCCGCACCGTTCAAAGGGCGCTGCTTTGCGTGCAATCGGCCGGGACACCGCAAGAGCGAATGCCCGGAAAACGCTAAGGGAAAGGGGGAAGATGAGCAGCAGAAACAGACCAAGCAGCAGGGAAACGCTGGGAGTCAGTAGCAGACGGGCCCTCTACTGACAGGTCACTTCGCTCGCCCGACCCAACCGACCCTCACCGAGTGATTGTGCCGATTCACGTAATCGACCACACCCGGCCAAATAAGGAGGGTACCACAGTAGACAGCCCTATACTGCTTAGTGGGAAAATCGGGACGGACGTAGTTAAAATCTTCGTAGACGGAGGGGCCAGCCACAGCCTTATCAACACTTCCACAACACGAAAACTGCGACTGCCACTGAATAGATGTTCACCTGAGATCGACGCAAGACTGGTCGACGGCACGCCACTGGCGATATGGAAACGTGTGGACCGAGTTCGGATTCGATGCGGGGGTAACTTCACGTTTTGCCAGGAAATGCTCACAACGACCCTCAACAGAACCGATATTTTGCTCGGGCGTGATTGGCTGCGACGACACAGCCCGCGAATCGACTGGACGACAAGTGACTGCGCTCTGCGAGTGAACGGTAACAACATCGCCTTATCTCACTGGGGCTCGCCTGAGTCTTCGTTGGTGCGTGTCAACGCGATCACGATGAAACACGCCGTAGCTGCAGGAGCTGACGCTTACGCGGTCGACATTCGGGAAGCGGAGGCAGCAGACAAAGGAGGGGATTTACAGAAACTACTAGCCGACGTACCGAGTGACCTGGCAGCACTATTGAAGCAGTACAGTGACATCTTCCCGGACGATCTACCGACGAGACTGCCAGTTCAGCGACCGCACGACCATAGGATAGAACTAGAACCGGGGGAACAGCAAACAGTAAAGCGACAGTTCCGACTGACCCAACCCGAACTGGACGAACTGAGGAACCAGCTGGATTACCTGCTCGACCCCTAGTTCATTCGCCCTAGTTCGTCGCCCTTCGCAACACCGATACTATTCACACCGAAGAAAGACAGGGGATTTCGCATGTGCATAGACTACAGAGCACTGAACGGGGCTACCATCAAATCCCGTTACCCCATCCCGCGAGCCGACGAACTGATCGACCAACTGCGCACAACCCGTGTTTTCTCAAAAATCGACCTCCGAGGGGGTTACCACCAGATTCGCGTCAACCCGCCCAACTGCCCTAAGACCGCATTTCGTACATGCTACGGATCCTTCGAAAACACCGTCATGCCCTTCGGACTGACCAACGCCCCCGCCACTTTCCAAATGACCATGAACGAAGCTTTCCGCCCGCTCTTAGACAAGTGCGTCGTAGTCTACCTGGACGACATACTGATTTACAGCCCTGACGGAGCACAACACCTACAGGACATCGAAGCAGTTTTTATATTACTGAGTGAGAACCGCCTACTGACAAAAGAGTCTAAGTGTGAGTTTTTACTGGACAGACTGGAGTTTTTGGGACACATTATTTCAGCTGCAAGAGTGGAAATAGACCCAAAAAAGATTGCGACGATTCAAGCATGGCACGCGCCGACCAACTTGACCGAGTTGCAGAGTTTTTTGGGGTTCGTCAACTACGTGCGCCGGTTCGTCCCCGACATGGCGAAGCTGACTGCCCCGTTGACCGACCTGCTGAGGAAGGGGGTTGAGTACACGTGGGGGTGGAAAGAGCAAGCTGCCTTCTCGGCCCTCAAAAATATTTTGTGCTCACCGCCCGTACTTCACATCGCAGATCCGCACCGTCCGTTCGAGCTCGTCACCGACGCTAGCGACATCGCTGTGGGAAAACTACTGCTACAGGACTTCGGGAACGGCCTTCAACCAATCGCGCACGAGTCCCGCAAGCCTCACCCGCCCAAACGCAACTATCCTATACACGACCGCGAAATGT